TGCCCTCCCTGCCCCGGGGCTTCGTGCGGCTGTGTCCACCCCCCACCTCCAGCTCCATTTGGAGGCCTTTTCCCCTCCCCTGCCCACCCGAGGGCATGGCCCACCACTCACTTCTGAGGACCCCGCCTCCCGCCCAGACTCCTGTACCCACTTCTGTTGCTGGGTGCTCCAGCCACCAAAGCCCATTCCCTGAATTCACTGCCCACCCCCGCTCTGGCCCCACACAGAGGAGCCCCAGGTGGCGCCCTGAGGCCCGGATGCTCTCCCCACGCCTCTGGGCCTGGCTGCACTCACTGGGCCGTGACGCTGAGGTCATCTGTGCTCTCCTGGCCCCAGGGGGGAGCAAGGGGATGTCCCCGGAGGCCTGGCCTTTCCCTAAGGTGGCTGGAACAGGCAGCAGGCAGGGGGCCCCGGGGTGATAAGCTTGGCCCAGAGCTGCAAGGTCACCTGGTTGAGGCCCGTGGGAGCTATTCAGAGGACACAGCCGGACCCCAGGCTGCAGCGGGTGGGAGCGGGACTCAGGGAAGGCCACGGGGCGCCAGCTGACGTCAAGCCCCGCGGTCCCTCGAGGCGGCCAAGGCTGAAGGCAGCTGCCCCCCGTCTCCGGCCCCGGCAGATCAATCGCTGGGACCTCCGGAGGGCAAGGGCCTCTCGACAGCCCCTCCATCACAGGGCCCGGCCATGGCCTCCCGGGCTCCCCATCAGAGATCTGAGCAAAGGGGCCTTGGCGGGCGGGCTGCTGCCCCATCTATCACGGCGAGGCTGGCAGCCGCGGCCTTGCTGTGACAGTCCCCATCCGGCCTGGCAGGGACACGGTCCCTTGATGTGTGAGGTGGGCCAGGGCCTTGGGGCTGAGCAGAGAGGAGTCCCGAGCCCTCCTGCTGGGCCGAGTGGGGCCAGGTTGGCCTGTCCTCCATCCCTGGGGGGAGCTCGGTCCCCAGTCCCTGTGAGCCCCTACCCCTGGGCATAAGCCACACTGGGAGGGCCGCCAGAGCAGGGCTGCCCCGTGTGTCCCCTGTGGAAGGCTGTGGGCTCTGAGGAGGGGCAGCCTGGGAGGAGTGGGGAGTTCCCACCCTGTACACTCCAGCCACGGCCACGGCCTGGACTTGTGTCAAATTGAGATGCTCTCTGGGCGGGCAGGACCCCTCATAATGGCTGTGCAAACCGACAAATGATCTCATTTTGAGGACCTCTGCTCAGACATGACTCAGGCTGCCTGTCTCCAGACCCTGAGGGGTCGGGATTGCCCCGAGCAAGCCCGGGGAGCACCCGGGAACGGACCCCTGGGTGCGGAGTGCAGAAGCTCTCGGCCTGTGGGCAGAGGCTGGGCTAGACCACAGCAGACCGGTCAGGGGGCTGGAAGCCTTTATTGACGGCTGTGCCGAGCGGGCGCCCCCGGCGGCTCCCCGGGCCCGTCCCCGGCGGCTCCGCTGGGAGCCAGGGCGCCCGCAGGCCTGGCGGCGCTGGGGGCCTAGGACTCGGACTCGAACATCTTCTTCCGGCCCTCCATGCCCGACTTCTCCTCGATGTTCTTCCTCCAGTCGCCCACGTCGCGCAGGTCCCGCTCCTGGGGGTGGGCGGGAAAGGCTCAGGCCCACCGCCCCGTGGCCCGCCCGGCCAGGCCCCCATTCCCCTCTGTGACGGGGTCCCCGCGGGGAGGGGCGGTACCTTCTCGGTGTCCTCCTTCTTGACCTGCTTCAGGTTGGCCCTCAGGTCCATGCACACCTTGTGCTTCGAGCCCAGCAGGGCCTTGAGCATGGCGTCGGCCGACATGCGCACCCTCCTCAGCGGCGGCCTCTTGAACTTGCCCCTCAGGTCGAACAGCTTCTGGTTCATGTCCTCCAGCTGCGGGGCACGGGGGTGCGGGGCTGGGCGGG